GGGGGGGGGGACAATGGGAGGGAGAAACTGAGAGAGAGAGTAAGGAAAGGGGTGACATTGTCCAAAAAGAAATGTACACTTTTGGGGGGGGGTGGCTGGGAAGGGATGTGAAGGGTAAACAAAGGAGAAGGCTGCAATGCTTGATAAGAAATGTACTCATTATCTTGCCCATGTAATTGTAACCCCTCTGTACAGTATGTTCAGAGTATGTTAAAAAAAATGATTAAAAAAACTCTCTCCAACTGGTCCCAAATCCCACCCTGACCCAAACCCAATGTGTTTTCTACAGTAATATTTTAGATGGAGATTTATAAAAAGAAAATAGTTCTGGTGAGTGGATTGGCAGATCCAGTCCCTGGCTGACACTTACCTGTTTGAGCCACACATTTGTTGTCATCAACTGATTCTTTTCATCCTATGAAAATTAAAATTAAAGTAATACTGTAAGTTAAAAAAAAAAAACAAAGAAATGTACACTTTGGGCTGGGAATGTGGCTTAGTGGTAGAGTGCTTGCCTAGCATGCATGAAGCCCTGGGTTTGATTTCTCAGTACCACATAAACAGAAAAAGCCAGAAGTGGTGCTGTGGCTCAAGTGATAAAGTGCTACCCTTGAACAAAAGAAGCCCATGGACAATGTGCAGGCTCTGAGTTCAAGCCCCAGGACTGGCAAAAAAAGAAAAAGAAATGTACACTTTGCCAGACTTATGTAATTGTAACCCTTTACACATCACCTTTATAACATTGAATTTTTTTTAAAGCGCAAGTACTGTAAAGCAAAATAAAATGAAAACTCAGTCATATGTGAGGAATATGGACATTTATATGTGGGTTAATCCATGCTTTATTGCTTCAGGTTTCATCATTGTGTACTGTTCCATGAGAGAGCCTCGTGGAGATCTCTGGGCTTTAACCCTTTTCCAGTTGCATTCAATCATTAGAATTCCCAGAACCCTTGTGCAAAAGAGAAGTCCTGTCAATCTACAGAATGCTGCTGCTCATCTTCAACTGTGAGGAAACATATTCTTAACATGGTTCATACCTATAATCCTAGCTGCTGGAGAGGCTGAGATCTGCCAATTGCAGTTTATAGCCAGCCTGGACAGGAAAGAGCTAGAAGTGTACCTGTCACTCAAGTGATGTAGCACCAACCTTGAATGAAAAAAAAAGCTACAATAACGCAAAGAACAGTGCCCAGGCCCTGAGTTCAAGCCCCAGAATTGGCACAATAGTAATAGTAATAATAATAATAATGTTGCTTGGTAGATTTTATAATCTAATTTATACTTTTGACTTTTAAAAAAATGGTGTGCCCCAATGATAGTGCAGTAAAATACCACAATAAAGTACCATACAGTGTATTGGGAATTATCCTTTTACTTTTGTCCACATTTCTAAAATGCATGTGAAACCATTTGGATTACCCTTGCATTCTCCTCTATGCTTAGTTTAATATTGGCCTGACTCCTGAACTCATGCCAAGCTTTAAACCTGTCACTTGGCTGAACATTTTAGACTTGTATTTTGGCATTGAAACTCTATGCTTGCCCCCACAAAAAGGTACTTTGATCAGGAGGAGCAAAAAAGAAAAGGAACTTTGGTCTTTAAACTTTTTATAGTTCTTTATATGTAACCACATATTTTGAAAGTTGGGAACTGTGAACTCTCAAATGTAAATCAAAGGCATGACTTTCAAATAAGAAAGAGCTTTGGATATACTTCAGTGGTTAAGTGTTTGCCCCTTATACATAAAGCCCTGGATAAAATCCCCAACACTGTAAAAATAAAGAAAAATAAGAAAAATTGATTAGAAGAGAGAAAACACACTATAAGTCAGAATTAACACCTAAGCAAGCTAAAGCACATTATAGAAAATTTTCCTTTTCTTTGAAAAAGTAGCTGTGAAAAAATGCCTGATAAAGTTACTGAAATGATCACTGGCTGTGAAGGACCCGGGGTGGTGTATGTTTCTAAGAGTATAATGAATAAGGCCATTCCTCTTGCTTCCGAGACTCAGGTGTTCTTCTTACTGGGGATACAGTGTCTTATAAAGGTCTATAATGGAGCTGGGCACCAGTGGCTCACACCTGAGATCTAAGGATCTCAGTTTAAAAATCAGCCCCTGCAGAAAATTTGTGGCTCTCTTATTTCCAAAAAAAAAAAAGAAGAAGTGGAGCTATGGCTCAAGTGGTATAGTACTAGCCTTGGATGTAAAAGCTAAAAGAGGGTGCCCAGGCCCTGAGTTCATTTCTATGTTTACAACTCATTTTGGGGATTTCCAGACTTAGAGGCCCTCAGCATCTCAAGGTCAAATGTTCCAACTCTATCCAAGCCTTAACAGTTGGTTTTACAAAAGGCTTGTAACTCTGTTGTAGATGCTGCCTAACCCCAGGGCCCTAGCTTGTGATTCTTCTACTGCAGCTTGTCATAACTTTATACCATTGCTTTTCCTACTCCTGATATCTTGAATAATATACAGTGAGGGTGCTGGGATGATTTGGTTCAATCCATAGGACTGCATGTCTTGCTGCCAGGATGTACTGCATAGCCATTCTACTGTGAGTCCCCCTCAAAGCTGGCAGCCTTCTGTATGAACTAAGAAATAGACAGGAACAACTTTCCTAGTTGTAGAATGTGTTGCCTCCAAAACCCAAAGAGGCCTTAGAGGCCCTTACTTGTAAGGGGAGGTTCTCATATACACCTGACCACAGAATGTGTTACTGCAACAAATTTTATCTCAGTCCCCTTATAGCACATATCAAAGACTCCAGCATGTTAGCACCCTATAATTTATGCTGCTAGATAAGCATGATGTCATCAGTGTAATGAATCAATGCGATATTCTTCGATAGGTCCAGATGGTACTGATATCTTGGGGCTATATTATGATAGATGATTAGAGAGTTAACATAGCCCCAGGACAAGCTGGTTCTGACCTTTCCTGGCTGAGATTGAGGGGAAAAAAGAACACATTTGCTTAATCATTGGCTTCATCTTACATAACTAAATCTATATTATCTACTCTAGCAAAGAGACCACATCTGGCTAAACAGCTATAATTGAAACTATTTTGTGTTAGCAATAGTCCCCAAGGTCTGTCCAGTTTCTGCAAAGGACCAGGCCAGTAAACTGAACCAGGATATAATAGGGACTTAGATCTTTAAAAGTGACACTTCTATCAATCCCTTTCCAGTGTTATACTAGTTTGTATTCACTCTCTTGTTGGGTGAAGAAGGTAGTTTTAGAAACTTCCTGTTGTGATAGCTCTCATCAACAGATCCAGTGTGTGGTTTACCTGAATTGTCCCATATACCAATCCTAATGATAAGTTTAGGGACCAGCAAAATGACTACCACATAAATTCAGACTCCTTGAAGTCATACTTTGGCCAATAGTCCATTTATACTTAGCCCTTATGTGCTTTCACTTTAATAAAGAGACCATGATGAAGTTTCAAGTCACTAAGAATCAGTGTCAAGCTGGGAACTGGTGGCTCAGGCCTGTAATCCTAGCCACACAGGAGGCTGAGATCTGAGGATCATGATTCAAAGCCAGCAGCCCAGGCAGGAAAGTCCATGAGTCTCTTATCTCTAATTAACCACCAGGAAACCAGTTCCAGCTAAGAGTGGTAGAGTGCTAGCCTTGAGCAAAGAAGCTCAGGGACAGTGCCCAGGCCCTGAGTTCAAGCCTTACAACTGACAAAAAAAAAAAAAGAATCAGTGTCAACTTAAACTC